ACCCATCTCTTCGTCTTAACAGATATTGACAGCACTACTCCCTTACGACCACCACCAAACAACGCCGCCCCTCGTGACCTTTCCCATTTCTTCGTCTAGCTTCTGATGGAAGTGCTCTTAACGCCAACAAATCATGCGCCGTGTGGCCTCACCCATCTCTTCGCCCCTGCTAGCGTCTCGTCTCACGACAGCAAGTGCTATTTAAAGATCACCACCAAACGATGCGCCGCGTGACCTCACCCATCTCTTCATCGAGCTTCTCATGGTCATCGTCCTGGTCCATGTCCTCCTTGTCCTTATCCTTATCCTCTTCCCCCTCAGCCGAGAAGTCCGTGATGTTTTTCCCGAGGCTCACCAGCTGGGAACAAAAACAGACGGGGATAGAAAAGAGCAAGTGGGGAAACGCACGAAAGAAGTGGTGTTGTCGGTCACTCTTATCAAGGAATCAACAAAAACACGCAAATATAATGCAAGTGCAGCTGTCGGGTGATGTGAACCGCGCCATGCATATTACACCATGTGCCGTGAAGCACGCACGCCGTACTGTAGAAAAAATAAAATACACGTCACGCCTGCATTCCAGGTTCCGTGTGCCGCCTTTGGGTAGGGGGCGCGCTCGCGGCGAGCGATAGAACTGGGTCTGCAGGTTTTACTCAATAAATTAGACGAGCGCGCGGGTTGGCACGAAGTACATGTTTGGTTTCAACTCAAGAGATCGGCGAGGACGTGGGTTTGCTCCCTTTTCAAAGGCGGAGAGACAAGAAAGAAAAGATAAACGATTATTGTTTCAATGTTAACTCTCTCTCTCGCGCGCGGGGCACCGCAGGTTCACGACTACGGACGGGCCTGGTACCAAGCACCGGGAGACGGGTGAGGCGCGTGCACGCCAAGGGCAGACAGAGGGCATCGCACAACGCCTTCGACTGATCGGTCTCCCGTGTCGTGTGTCATACCTTGTGGAATCGCTCAGGCCGCATCTTGCCGAGAATCTCCTCCACGCCCTCCTGACGCTTGTGGTCCGTCAGGGACTCATCCTGAAAACAAAAAAAAATGAGGGCCGCAAGCATGGCGTACTTTCGGGATGTATACAATATACGGCTTCGCTTGTATTGAGAGGGGGGAAAGTATCAAGTGAGGTGTATTGTACATGGCACTCAATGGAGCACTTATCGCACGACGGAATCGGTCGTATCTAACTGTACAACGTAGTCAACGAGGGGCCGTCCAGCTAGCTTCCACTTGAATAGGCTACCTTTCCCGACACGCCATGCCATACGCGTTGGGTGCCCGTTCTCATTCTCACCTTGAGCCACGCCAGGACCTCATCCGCGGCTCCCCTCAGGACATCCTGCGGCTGGTCTCCCAGCGAAGCGACCATGGTCGACAGCACCTCCTCGTAGGCGATCCTTTCGAACGAGACGGAACGAAACGGCTACGTATCATCCACGGAAAAGACCACGTCAACCTCAAACACAGCAGCTGGTCCCGCAAAAACCCAATTTGCACCAAAAGAAAGTGTCGACCTCCAAGATCCGAATGCGATAAAACATGAAATGCAAACGACAACATCAACACAACACCGATGGAGAAGGCCTCGCCTTGAACCCTTGCCAGTAGGTTCTTCGGAAAACAGAAAAAAAAAAAAACACACACACACACACACGCGTGAGTCGCCGCGTTGCTACTGTAACCAAAAGCAAGTGCATTGGGAGCCAATCGCAAGCAAACAGCAAGCAAACACTTTGAAAAAGTGAGCAGCAACGCGTGCAAATAGGCAGTAGCAGGCGGATAGTAAGAAAATAGCACGAAGTGAGGGAGGCTGATAACAACGGATCGCAAGTAAACACCAAGCAACAGCAACGCAAAACACAAACAATACAACATCACACAAAAAAAAAAAAGTCACCTGCTTTGCTTTGTTTTTGGACGGTAGTTGATGCTGTCAAGCTCCTCCGTCTCGGTGAGGACGGTGGAGCCTTTCCCAGCAACAAACACCTTCTGCATGCGACTCCGCTTATTCCTCTCCTGCTCCTCGCCAGTCGCCTTCCGCTCCCGCTTCGCCTGGGACTTCTTCTTTCTCTCCTCCAACTGTTGATTTTGTCGTTGAATTGTTGGAGGTCGAACACGGACGACGACAGCGTTTAAGGGGCGGGTTGGGGGGTAGCGTAAACGCCTTGTGTTCGTTGCCAGACGAAAACGAAGACAAAAAAAAGTCAGGTAGTACGTTTGTAGAAAAAAACAGAGTGGTGGCCCTTCTTGTTTCCGTGCCTCACTTGATCTCCGTCCCCTCCAAGAACTCGGCAAGCCTTCTTTTTCCCGCCTGGAAACTGAAGAGCACTCAATAAAATTCAGCTGCGTGTGAGCCAAAGACACGAAACACGCCCCCGGCGCCATGAACAAGACCTTCCTCACTACAACGGAGTATCGCCAAACAAAAGAAAATAGATGACCCGCCTCCTTCTGGTTCAGAGGTGGAAAATATATCTCCTGTCGTCCGCCTCTCCTCTAACGCTGTCCCGTGTGGTACCCTCGCAAAAAATTGCAGGCTCTCTTGCTACTACTGTAAGCCCCGACGGCTCCTGTTTTGGGGGCATCCATCCACGGAAGCTTCTGCGGCCATCCACATCTTGTTCTTAGAGAGAATACATAATCTCACAGGAAGATCGAGAAATCACCACAGTCGAAAGGGATGTGCCGAAGTGTTTTCATTGGGTGGATTGGAAACTGACATCATTTTGAGATTGTTTGAGCCTATGCACTGATATGTTGCTAGCATACAGGTAGCGCCCGCATTTACGAACTTGGCAGTTACATAAGATATTGAGCCGCAAAAAAATCCAAATCTAAGCACGTTTGGCACCATCACATGTCTGTGAACCTGGGTAAGAAACCATAAACACAAAACTACATGGCGGCCGTTCGTAGCAACTTAGAGAGGCCTCGGTCAAACGAGGTTCTCAAGTGCGGGCGCTGACTGCTGCCGTTACCATCGACGACGACCCACCTCGGGCTTGTTCCCCTTGTCGAGCCTGTCCCCCATCTTCTGCCCCTTCATGCGGCCATGGAGAGACTCTACCTCCCCGGTCCCCTCCTCTCCCCGACGACGAGAATCTCGGTCCGCCGTGAGCACAAGGTTGGAGTTCTACAAAAAGAGACAGGCGTTGAAACGGGGCGGGGTCGGAGGGGACGGGGGGTAAGAGCACGAGTATATGCTTCCACCATTGATCACGAACTCCTCTCGAGCATCAAGTGTTGGCTCTCGCTGCTATCTACTTTCAGCCGAGAGACTGCCCAATATTTCGTCTCTCTACTCTACGGTGCCAGCCACATGTCGTACATCCACGAAAGCCTTTTCTCGTATCCTCGACCCCCGGTCCTTTTTAGGCCTTGTGGCGAGACAATTGGGGAAAGAGTTCTGGGTTGGGGATCCTGTTGGAAGTGAATATAGAGACACATCTGTCGCCGGCCATGCAGGAGAAACTTCTACGTAACGGGCCGAGAAGGAACAACGGGGGGTTTGCGAAAACGCCCGCGTAGGGAGGGGGTTGGCCGCGGAGGGGGGTCGTGTATTTTGGAAGGGATGTGCGCGTGTGTCGGGCTAAATAGATGCATCTCTGCTAAACTGATGTACGTCACGATGGACTCTACTTCAGCTGTGACGCCGCAGGAGAGGTGAATATCAAACCCTCTCCTCCCGAGTAAAATAGAATAGGGGGCGGGTGGTCAGGGTACCGACAGAGGGAGCCTAGGTTGCGTATTTGTTGGTTCATGCTCAGCATTCTCAACGTCGTAGTCTTTATAAGTACGTATGCACCGTTGTACAGCAGTAGATACATTTGGCACGGTTTTCACAGCTAATTGCTCTGCAGCAAAAACGGCGAGGGTTGCCGACAAGGAATGTCTTGTAATCATTTCGTCAAGACATTTCCGAAAACGAATAAAGTTTGATCGTGGCCTCCTCTTCGTCGTTGACGAAGTAGCAAATCGAGCTTTGAATAGGGGCAGGTACCTTCCGCGACACACGACTGTACATAACAGAGACCCATCCTGAACGCCAAAATTCCACAAGTCCCGAACAAAGATATTTGAGCTCCACGAACAAAGGGTCCACCGAAGCTTCCGTGGGCGTGGGTGCGCGTGCACTGCACCAGCGTTTGAGGATCAACTGCTGGGTGGTGGTGCCAGTAGCACTGCTGCTGCCGGATCACAACCCGCCACATGTTGGCGATCAGCAGCACAACGTTGGGCTGCCTGTCGCTGCCCCTGGGGCGACGATGGTGTCAAAATGTAGTTGCCAACAGCTATGCAGCAGTGCTTTAGACGGCACGTGAGCGTGGAGAATGCAGCACAGCAAAGGTGTGGAAACCGGGGTAGTCTATGCTTAATAATGTTTGAAGGTCGGGACACACGATGATGACACTGCTGTCGGCGAGCATCCCCGCAGCAGCCAGCGGCATCGCTCCCTGCAAAATATTGCAAAGTATAAGTTTCTTACAAAGCAATACCATTGCTGCATACAACAACTGAGCACGCCAAGCCTACAAAGTTTTCTGCTAAAGTAGTAGCTTCTCGGTGTGCTCGGTATCCAGTTCCAAGAGTTAAAAATCCTCCATCATCGTGCCATCGTGCTCTCGACGGGAAACGGCGCCATACCACCGCAGAAGTGGGGACAGGGCATCTTTGAACTCACCGCCTTGTACTCGAAGATCTTGTTGCGAACCGCATCTTCCGCCATGGTTGCGGCACGCTTTTGCTCGCTGCCACAAAGCTACCAGCTACCACGTTTTTCTACTTCACGTTCCGTCCTCTGCCTCTTGCTTCTCCCCTGCTCACGCAGTCCTGCTTGGCGAGCCGGCACACAAGCAACTACTGAGGGGCTCCGCGCATTGCGAGTCACTAGCATGGAGCCTACGAATAGAGTTGCCCGCGGAGCCTCTGGATCTCCGTAGATCGGTGCAGCGTCCTTGCATCTTTGCATCGTCTCATTCCTACTGCGTTCTCTGCTGTGCTGCACCTTTGAGGGCCCAGAGAGGAAGTACCATGGAAGAGAGCAAGGGAGGTGAACGGGATCCTTTCAACCCCGCAGATGACAGCGCTTTGGTGAGTCTAACTTTAGTTCAGACACATGAATCTGTCGACTCACAATAGACTAGAGCGGTATTCCCGCCGCACCCTAGCATCTCCGGAGCGATTGCTGCATCAAAACTCTGGCTCTGGCTAGCGGGAATAGTCAGTGCACTTGGAAAAACACGTATATGGACAAAAAAGTGTTCGATGAGCATGGACAGTCGTTCCGACAAGTAATACAAAGCGCGGATTGAAGAGTCATGCTTCTGTTCAACTACAATAGGTCTGTGTTTGTGCCGTTGAACTCTGCAGAACTCTGCATCCTTTCTTGAACTCTGCTCATCGCGATGCCTTTCATAGGTTGACGGCTTCAACTACCCTTGTGTTGCAAGCACAACAATAGTCCGCTGCTGTCTACAATAAACACAAAAGCGGCTTTTGGTACACGAGATATGGGTGTGGTATTCGTACATCTATCTCTAGATGCAGAACCTAACGAGGGGCGATATTGTGCACGCAACATGCTGGTGCCGGCTGTTCTGCAGAGATACAAGCTGGTCCGGCCAAGAAGCCCACATTGTGTCAGACGTCCATAGTTTTGCCGCATTTGCGATTCATCTCAAAGTAAAAAAAGACATTGCCGTGATCGGCAGACTCAGGCGCTGATGATGGAACTCTACCAGTTCATAGCGGAGGATTCTCCAACAGAAGCATATTTTGAGGCTTGAAACCGTCAAAAACCATCAAACCATCAACAATAAAAAAAAAATGCGGCGAAATTACGCAATTCAGAGCGGCGGAGCGCATCAAGGCACATCACAGCAGCACACCTCTCTCGACAGCGCGCTGTGTATGGCTACGGACGCGCAGAACACCCAGCGGTGGGAGAGCACCTCTGCCCCCGTGATAAACTATGACAAGAGTGCAGATCGTTGGCGACTCGAGCTGAACTATACCCCGAAGAAGAAGAAAACTGCGAGGAAGAGGTCCGCATGGTACACCACGCGCGGAGGCTGAAGCATCAGCAAGTTGGTGGAGACTGAGTTGGGAGCAAGGCAACAACGGCAAGAAGATCAACCCAGGCACACAACCCGATGGACCCCGAAGCAACAGCTCCGGATCATCGACGGCCGATGTCGAGCTTCCTCCAGGCAAGTTGAGCAATGAGTTGTACGAGTGGGTCTGGTGTACTGCTGTTCCGCCCACTGGCTCCGCCGCTGCTGTGGTCAAGGAGTCATGACATGATACCACCGCTTCTGCTGCGCTCGTGGATCTAGGGCTAGTTGCTGCTACTGCTGTGTCAACCCCGCTGCTGCCTATATTCGTGCAAGACTGCTGTACAACGTACACTGCTGCTCTACAAGTACAGGCGCAGCCGCCATAATGCTGCCATGATGTTCACGTGAACCAAGAAAACGGTCCGTGTTTTGAAGGGTTTTTAGCCCTGTCTGCTGCTGCCGAAGTGTGCTACTGTTGCCTACCTGTGCGTATGACTGCTGCACGATGTGCGCTGCTGCTGTACATGTACAAGCAGTATATTATACGTATTGGAGATAAAGAGATTCGAACTCTTGACTTCGNTAATTTGTAAAATAAAATAACAAATTTATAATTATTTTGTTTTAAGAAGTAAATCGAAAAAGACGGGATTTGAACCCGCGACCATCGACATGACAAACCGACACTCTACCAACTGAGTTACTTTTTCTTATAACTAATACATATATTATACGTATTGGAGATAAAGAGATTCGAACTCTTGACTTCGCGCTTGCAAAGCGCACACTCTACCAACTGAGTTATATCCCCTTAATAGAATAATAAGTGTACCTAATTTAATACATTAACTCCTAAAAAAAATATTTTCATCTTTTAATAGGGAATACCGACTTAAAACCTATACACGACTTTGTTTCAAATTAATAAAAAGATATACAAAAGAAAAAAATCAGATTTTTGTTTTTCATTGGGGGCATATTGTTAGGTGCAGTAGGGGGTACATTAAAAAAATGTACCCCCTACTACACCTAACAATATAATTTTTTCGTTGGGCGTATTGGGAGTTGAACCCAAGACCCTCGGATTAAAAGTCCACTACTCTAACCAAGGTCATAAAGCTTTTAAAAGCTTTTGTAGATCTGGTTCTAAATCAAAGGATTCTTCTTTAAAATTATTAAGTTTATTCGAAGGTCGCTTAGTTGGTAGTGGCTCCGCGAACAACTCTCGATTCAGAATCTTGTGCAACTAGCTGCTCGCGAACAACTCTCGGTTCAGAATCTTGTGCAACTAGTTGCTCGCGAACTACTCTCTGCTCAGAATCTTGTGCAACTAGTTGCTCGCGAACAACTCTCGGTTCGGAATCTTGAGCAACTAGTTGCTCGCGAACAACTCTCGGTTCAGAGTCTTGTGCAACTAGTTGCTCGCGAACAACTCTCGGTTCGGAATCTTGTAGAACTAGTTGCTCGCGAACAACTCTCTGCTCAGACTCTTGTGCAACTAGTTGCTCGCGAACAACTCTAGGTTCAGAATCTTGTGTAACTAGTTGCTCGCGAACAACCCTCTGCTCGGAATCTTGTGACACTAGTTGAATACGGACAAATTGCCGATAGTTGCCTAGAAAGCAACTATGTAGTTGGTAGTTGTGAATACGTGGGGGGAAAAAAATGTTGAGGAGTTGAAGAGAGGGGTTTGCTGCTGCTTGATGCGGGTCCGATGCATTACGCCTCACTAGCTTCATGATCATGGCCCCTGTGTTGCACGGGAGTAACAGCATGAACATCGACTGCACATGAAAATAACTCAAAGAGTAACGTGCTGGGCCGTGTGAGAGAATGTCAACACCGTTTGCGAGGAGATAAAATACGATGTGTTATTCTGAATGTTTAATGGTAAGAAGTACTAGTTATTGATGTTTTTTTGTTTTACCTACCGTCCCTGCCGATCTCAATCAAATCCCAAAGAAAACGAATTACGAAATGCTCCCGGAACATGCTTTTTTTTTTTGCCGAACCCAGCCCCAGGGCACCACTCGTCAATGCAGATCCCCAAAAAAGTAAGCACGAAGTGCTCCTGGAAAGTAGCTAAATTAAAATGTATTTTCTTGCCCAGCCCGGCCCCAGGGCACTTCCGTGCCACCCCGTTGCCCGGCGCCGTCTTTCTGTAGATCATCGTCGTCCTCCTCGTCCTCCTCGTCCTCATCATCACCCTCGTCCTCCGTGAGATCCACTGGGCCGAATGCACCGGAACGCCCCTCCAGCTCCGGATTGGGGTCCTTCAACCGCCCGGGCATGTGCTTGTTAGTCGCGCTGTCGGGGCCGTCGGTTGGCAGCGCTGGGATGTCCTCCGGAATGAGATCCAGGTTACCATGCAGAAACAGCAGACTGTGTGGATGACACACACGCACCTCGATTTGACATGCTGGGCCATTATCGACGGTCACTGCCGCTTGTGCCGACGAACCAAGCGCTCCGCCGTCTGCTGCTAGTGGAGAAGTAGCAGCTGGCGCTGGTGTAGGGCCGGCTGGTGGAACAGCCGCCATTTGGAGCGCTAACGATTGTTCGCTCCAGGGTGGTGTGTGCGTGCGAGCGGTGTGTGTTGTGCACACGGGCCTCATGCCGCGTCCAGGTTGTGCACCCGAAAGTGTTCTTAATTTTGATTGACAACGAGCCGGGCAATTAGTTGACAACCACCCGGGTAACTCATGTCTAATTTTAATGTTGAATCTTTAATTTTTCTTTGCAACTACCCGGGCAACCAGTTGCCCGGGAACAACTAACTCTCCGCTCGGAATCTTGTGCAACTAGCTGCCCGCGAACAACTCCCTGTTCAGAATCGTGTGCAACTAGTTGCTCGCGAACAACTCTCGGTTCAGAATCTTGTGCAACTAGTTAACTACGGACAAACTGCCGATAGTTGCCTACAAACCAACTAACTTAGGTAGCTGATAGTTATGGTTGTACAGGGTGTGATATTTTTTCTCGTAATTGTACAACCGCGGAATGCTTTATTTATTGAAATTGAACCCATATGTCCCGTGCCTGCTGCTGTTCGGAGGTGTACTTGCATTGCGTGCCAGTACATGAGCGTCCGTGTACGTCGGCCGCACAGCATGCACCACTGCTGCACAAGTACGAGTACCACAGTCGTTGGCTCAGAAGCTGCTTCGTTGCGGGTAATGTAATTCTACTTACACATGTGCTACAAGGCAACCACTGCTTGTTTTGGAAAGATTTTGAACCAATTTTGTCCCAAGTTTGCTGCTTCTGTTCGATGTGCATTTGTGTCTGCGTGCCTGAACGACTGCTGCACGACTGTCGTTGCTGCGCAGTCATCGTACCAGAAGCTGCTCCGCAAACGTGAACAAGACATTAGTCCCTCATGCATCCACACAATCGCAAGCCATTAAATTGACCTTGTCCCCATTTTTTCTCGCCTTCCCCACCGTACACTAAACAGGTAAATCGGAGAGGAGCGTCGGCAGGTTGAACAGAGTGCAGGAGCTGCAGTTCAAAAGGCAACGCAAGGAAGGAAGCAGCCTGTCGCGCGGGGAATGGATGAAGTCTATTTCTGTCGACACGAGGGAAGCATGTCTCCAACGGGCATGGACGAGGCGGGAGGCAAGGCTGGACAAGAATTTCCAGAACCGTCACGCGTACCTCAAAAGCCGCGTGCAGGCCATCGAGGAGCGAGTAGCGAAGAATGCCGGGCATATTACAATGTATCTGCATTCAACGGTTGTCTTTTTCCCTGTACCGGTAAATTTAGGTTAGGTAGTGACGATTCCAAAGTGAGCGCATGTTCCAAGATGTATGTACACCGAAATCGCGACGCTGCACGTGGTGCGACACAGCCTGCACAAAGCTTGAACGATATGCGCGGATTGGAAGTTGGTGCCTCATTCTCTTTGGTCAGGTCAGGAGTATGGTCATTTGGCACCAACAAACCTCTCTGCGCACGTAAAATATGGTGCAAACTCGCAAGCAAGTACTTTGAAGTACCAAGCACAGTTGCTGCAGAAAACTTGCGCCGACACACGTCTTTGTTGCTATCTCACAACCCAAGGGGTCATTCCGGCTCACCACCCGCGGCTTTAGGGTTGAGCAGGCAGCCAGCCTTAACTCCGCTACGGCAATGCGTGTCTTCCTTGAAATATTTCTCCGAAACCCTTCTAGAAGCTATCTACTCCGCGCGTGACGGCTTTCTCCAGCAGCGGACTCTCGTGGGACGTTCAAACTTTACGTTTTTGCGGTCGTGGGCCCTCAACAACGCCGATATTTATTTTTTTTGGTCTTCACTTCAAATCAGCGCTCACAGCACGAGTGCCGTTTACTCCAACTCGTGGTCACACAGAAGAGCCCCTCTCTACCCTCCCCTTCTGCGGTACTTCGCCTTTGATTTTTAATGCGAGGAGAGTTCAGCACTCTCTTCCCTCTGTGTACACACGAAGTAGCGCTATGCACTAGGCCAGGAGCGGAAGCGAGAGAAAAACTCACTTTACAAGTTAATATTGCTTACGCCGGTATTCGAACCCCTGACCTGCCCTCTAGAAGGTTTCGAGGTTACCAACTAGACCACCGGGGCGACAGCATGCCGGTACGATAACGGCGAATCGACCGGCGCCATTCAAAGAACATAACGACTTGGTGAGTTAGTCTGTGCCCAGCAATTCCACCGTCGCTTTTCTGGGGCCACTGGCGCCATTCAACTGGCATTCGTTGAGGGGCCACTACTGCTGTATATCGAATTGATACCCGCTCAGGAGGTCAGCGGCGGGGGTGCCGCCGACGAACGCGACATCCCGGAATTCTCTCTTTGTGCAGCCTTGGTGGGGCACACGGGGGACGTCAGGAGCCTCGCCGTCGGCAAGAGAAACCTCTACAGCGGCGCTCGGGACAGCGTGGTGATGGCCTGGCCGCTGGACGAGGTCAGAAACCCTCCTCTCGTCTGGGCGTGATCCTGGTGTGTTGTGTGTTGGCCCGCGCCCTGGGGACAGCGCCGCGAGTAAAGTTGGGGCTGTGCTACATGGTTTGGGCAATATGCAGCAGCACCCGAGGAGCCTCCGCTTCTTTGTGATCTTCGCCCGCCTACTTGACTGCCCCCCCCCGCCCCCCCCAAGTGTTCCGCTTTTCGTCGTTGGCGCATTTCGGCAACATTTAGAATAATGTGTCGATGCACGCACCGTCAAGAGTTCTAGGTCACCCGTAACGTTCTCCTCCTCACGTTTCTCGTGCTGAGAGAGAGACTGTTCTTTCCGTCGATGGTTGCTTGCGCACCGTCAACCCCGACGACCCCCAGGATGGCCACATCGACGGGACTCACGTGGCACCGGCAGCGCAAGTCACCCTCCCGGACTGGGTTAACGCGCTTGCCGTGAAGTCACCCGCGGGGGGCGAGGAGGTCATCGTTGGCGGCTGCAAGGACGGGGGTATCTATGCGGTGGGGTGGGAGGAAGGGGGGCCCGCAGCGGCGGCGGCAGCGGCAGCAGCCAGTGGAAACGGAGCGAAGCTCGTGGTTCGAAAGTGAGGCGGAGGAGGTTGAGTCGTACAGGGACCACTGTTTGTCATTTTTGGGACACTGGCTACCTTTGAACCCGAGCAGCGGCGTCTGTAGTGGCCAACAACTCACATATTGCCTCAGATACCTTCACCTCTTTGCGGCATAATGTTTTTTTCCTCCGCATGTGCCTACATGTACCTCATTTTACACCAACCCCTTTGAGGCACCGTTATTCCCCGGCATATGCACACATATGCCACTACACCAATTTGCCCCTTTGCGGCATATATCCCCCCCCGCCGCATATGCCCCCCCGGTGTTTGCCATCGGGTTGGGGTGTCGTCGCTTGGCAGCGATGTTGCAGAATAAGCCGATCACTTCGTGAGCTCGGCAACTGCGGTAACCACGAATGGTGGTAGGATAAATGATATTGTGCGGGGTCGAGAACCCTCACTCCGCGCAAAGGGGATAATCGCACCACGTTGTGTTAAATTGGTGAAGCACCCTCGAGGCTGTTACACATTGCATACAACTGTCTCTGGAAGTGAAAGCACCAGAAAATATATTAAGTCATACGCAGCTGTCATCGTACGCAAGGAAGTAAGCACAAGGTGCCAGCACCCTTAGCAGGATGCAGCGCAGCCTTCATGCGACTCGCCGAATACCTCACGGCGCCTCNGCGGGGTCGAGAACCCTCACTCCGCGCAAAGGGGATAATCGCACCACGTTGTGTTAAATTGGTGAAGCACCCTCGAGGCTGTTACACATTGCATACAACTGTCTCTGGAAGTGAAAGCACCAGAAAATATATTAAGTCATACGCAGCTGTCATCGTACGCAAGGAAGTAAGCACAAGGTGCCAGCACCCTTAGCAGGATGCAGCGCAGCCTTCATGCGACTCGCCGAATACCTCACGGCGCCTCGCGCTTCGTGATGTGAGAGCCTGGTCCGATGAGAACCCGGCGTGCTCCGTCCCGGCTTTGTAGGGATGCGAGGTCAGTGGTGTAGCGACTACAACATGCACGACTATGAGTACCCCCCCCCCCCCGCCGCCGCCACCGCCGCCGCCACCGCATATGCTACATGTTCATCACGATTCCAGGACTTTCCTCGGCCACAACGCCCCGATTTCATCCCTGTCCTGGACCTCTGAAGGGTTGTTACTGTCGGGGTCGTGGGACGAAACCGCCAAGGCCTGGGACCTCGACACGGCCACGTGCAAGTGGACCCTGGGGGGGCACGAGGTTGGGACAAGCCAGCCTTCCTGGCCTGTAGCAGACCCCAATCAGAATATTCGCTTTACTCAACGGTTCCCGAATTATTTCCGTTTTTTAGGAATGGAAGAACCATCACAGCATTCTTGTTTGATTTTGGTCCTAGCACGTTTTTTTTTTTCTAGCTTTTTTGGGCACACGGACACTGACGTATTCCGATGTTGGTTAACCACGCAATGTTGCGCTCTCAGCATCCGCAGTCTTGCCCGCCGCTTGTATCTAAGGCTCGTAATTGTGCCTTCTTTTCTCCCATTATTGCCTCCTCCCGCAGAACAACGTGTGCGTGCTCGGACTAGGACCAGGCTCCATCGCCACCGGCTCCACCGGGCTAAGCGTCGAGGGGCATCTGGTGGGGCAGCAGATCAGGATGTGGGAGGGCTCGCCACCGAAGGTATTACCGTACTTGTGCGTGTTTTCGCACCTCCGTGTTAGCGTTTTTCTATGGCGTACTTCTCCACAACTAGGAGGGTGCGAACACCAACTGATACCTCTCCGGCCCTCGACGAGGTGTTTCCAAAACCACCCTTTTCGGAGGTGACACCTCCCTGGTTGCGGATAAATACGCTAGAGAAAAACGCCAACACGGGGGTGCGATAGCACGCACAATTACGGTATGTGTTGACGATCGCGGTGGCTTTTGTCACGACGACGTGGTTCGAGAGGTCTCGTAAGCTGGCTGGTTTCGTGTTACGCGAAATACGGACATGTCAGCCGAGAGGGAAGGGGAAGGGGAAGGGGTGCCATCCGCGAGTCACGCTGGCGTGCATGTGTGATTTATCGTGTGTTTCCTGCGGAGGTTGTAGTGACCAATCGCCGGCATCGGCGATGTGGTTTAGAAGAAACATGTCCCTCTGAACGACGAAGAAAGTCGCTGGTCCGCGTCGTCTCAATAATAGGGTGATCTCAATACCAGGGTGCCGCCCAAGTAACATCTTGAAGGAACACCGTATCGTTTTCTCCCATCTCTTCTTGGCTCTCCCAACCCCCCTTCCCAACCCGCCCGCCCGCCCGCCCGCCC